AAAATTTTATCAAAATTTCAAATATTGTTTTTTCAAAAACTAAAAGTTATTTTTCAAAACGGGTTGGTTCATTGGAAAGAGGACACTTTTATTAACACTTTGAGAAATTTTCATACTCATATTCCAAGAAATGGATTTTATATGAATTTTTAAAACTTAATAGGCGAAAATTGTAAAATTCGAAAAAATTGTCTATCATTTCAAAAATTTATTTCTCAAAAACTAAAAGCGATTTTTCAAAACGGCTTTTTGCATTAAGAAGAGGATACTTTAATTAATAATCGAAAGTGATAACAGCAACAGTTCTGTTAGTAATTTATTTTACTTATTTATTTCCATTAAACCTCTACAGGGCAAACCCCAATTACAAAGGTTTTACAAAATTAAACAATAACCGTAACTTAACATTAATCCGAAAAATTTAATTGAATAGTATCTAACATCAAAGAAAATAAACAGTTGTAATCGTTAACATAATGGAAAAACAAATTCTCAAATTAATACTTAATAATACCAGAATTATTAGAGTTTATAAGATTTTACACATAATTTTTAAAAGATTTTGAATCCGAAAAACGAAAAAAATCAACATCCCAAGATTATTAACCAAACAAGAGGTTCTGTAAATAGGTGCGTGAAACAAAACGTCTGTACGGCGCTTGTCTACATAAAAAGTGGTCTGCGACCGTGAAGCACATCTCGGTACATTTAAGGCAATGTTCTCAACAATTTGGTTACCAGTAATGAATGTGATGATGAATTACAAGCGAAGAGAAGGAAAGTAAACGAAACTGCAACAAGAGATTATATATATCGTATTGAGATTCTTACAGCTAAAGATAAACCTGATATAAATAAAGTTGTATTCAATGAAAAAAGCCCTATTGGGGTTGAACTTGATTATTATCTGCAATGTCCAACACCTAAAACAGATACTAATTCCTGTGAAGTGTGGAGTATTAAGTAATAGAGTGTAGATCCATGTTGCAAATGAATTATTTAAGAAATAAAACGAAAAAACTTCTTAACTTGCTATATTTAATAAATTTGAAGTCAAACTAGTTTCGGGGCTTGCCCCATCCTCAGTGACAATGTCAATAGAAGACTAATATTGTAAACTGAATATCATCAAAAAGGCAATTAAATGCATGTATAAAGCTGAAGGCGATATAATGCGGTGTTAAACGTGATCAGTCTCGTTTCTTCACGTCTCTTTAAAGGTTCAACATGGTTTTTGATTATTTTTTAACAAGCGTTTAAAATAACGTGCTTTTTTGCTGTCGCCATTTTAATCCATACATACATTTTAATACATTTTAATTAATTTCGGGGGTTGGGCAACCCCCGAAACTAGTTTGACTTCAAATTTATTAAATATAGCAAGTTAAGAAGTTTTTTTGTTTTATTTTTTATTAAATAATAGATTTTTAATATCCGGCCAAAGCCGAATATTTGGTAACTATCCGGTATCCGGTCGGATTTTAAAAAATGGCCGTATATTCGTTCCACCACTAAAATATAGCAATTACATATTACGTTCTATGGATGAATCTATCCAAGTAGACGCTATTTACACAGACTTCAGCAAGGCGTTTGACTGACATTACCATAATCTGTTAATTTCAAAACTTCAACAGTTTGGTATCGATGGCTATTTGGTATGATGGTTAGCCTCCTACATGCGCGGAAAAACTCAGATAGTGTTAATCAAAGGACATAAATCTAGTTCATTTTCAGTGCCTTCGGGTAAAGTCCCTAGATTATCAAAGTATCGCGTTTGCCGCCATTTTGGCTCGAAAGTCAAGCGGGAAATTTAAAACTATGTCGTTCTGTTGATAAAATTACGCCAAATTTCCTTTCTTTTTTTTCTCGTGGTACTCTGAAGAGTCGAAAGCCCTTCTTACTGCTATTTTTGCAAGAAGACGGCTTTATTACATGTGCACTTTTTGTATAATATGTTTTTTATTTAAATCACTTGTCAAAGTGTCGTCAAGTTGGTATTGAAAGTAAAAGCGCATGTCGTGACTTTTACTTTAATTGTGTGCCACCACTGTCTATCAAATTTGTTAAGATTGATTAAAAAACAATTTTCATATAATTTTTTTGCTGCTAAATCTACCATAAAAATGTTAAGAAAGGGTGGAACGGGATGTCAACTGTCTAAACGCGAAAAAAACTCTATAATTAGGTATTGTGAAGAAGTACAGACGGAGACACCAAATACGAATTTAAAATATATATGTGATAAAGCTTCACGTATTTTTGATGTATGTGTATTGCACTTGAGTTTTAAAATTAAATTTATATTCAACATAATTGTATTAGGTTCACAGCACGACGGTTTTTAAAATTATTCAAACCTACAAAAAATATCAAACTGTAAAAAAACCAAAAACACAAGGGCGTTGTAAAATGAACTACAAAACGGATAATAATTTATATTTTATTAAAGAAGAGTTAGGAAGACAAATACAAAAATTGCATGAAAAGAAACAGTATTTTAATCTTAATGATTTACTTAATTTTGCAAGAAATGAATGTGATTTTACTAATGGTAGATCAAAATTACATAAAATTATAAAATCTATGGGATATAGATATAAAAAGATTAGCAATAGAAAAGTGTTAATTGAACAACCACATATAGTTTCAAAAAGAATTACATTTTTAAAGACATACTTGCAATACCTAGAATCCGGAGAGTATACTTTTGTTTTTCTTGACGAAACTTGGATTTACGAAAATGGCACCCAAGTTTATCAATGGGTAAATGAAAATGAAAGATTCGGTATTCCGCAAAGAGCAGAAGGCGAAGGAAAAAGATTTACAATCTTGCACGCAGGCACTTCGTCAGGGTTTTTGCCAAATTGCGATCTCTTGCTCAGTGACAACACGGAGCACAGAGATTATCATAAAAATATGACGTCAATTATTTTTATGGAATGGGTGAAAAATCAATTACTTCCAGCATTAAATAATTTGGGTGCGAAGTGTGCGGTAGTAATGGATAATGCTCCATATCACTCAAAACAAATCGAGAAAGCTCCAAGTTTCTGCACAAAAAAAAATGATATGAAAAAATGGTTAACTGAACATAATATACAGTTTGAACCAACCTTAAATAAAAAATCGTTATGGGAAATAATCCGTTATTACAAGCCTCAAATTGAAAAATCCTTTGAAATTGACAAATTAATAAGAGACCATGGCCATACTGTTCTTCGCCTTCCTCCATACAATTGCCAATATAATCCCATTGAACTATGTTGGGCGTTCTTAAAAACTTATTACAATAAACATGTTCAGTCCAGCTCGGAGAAAAAGATCTGTCGTGTCAAGGAGACTTGGCAAAAAGCTCTTGGTCATTACACTCCGGAGATGTGGGCAAATAGTGTTCGCCACTGTGAAGAACTAATTAAAAAAGATTGGACAACATTAATGGGAAATTCATTAATAACTGATTTACCTCCTGTCATCATCCAACTAGCGGAAGACTCAGATTCTTCCAGTAATTCTGATTTTTAAACAATATTCAAATTTTAATTATAGCACTTAATTATGTTATCTTAATATATTGCTCACGAGTTTTAATTTCAAAACGTAGATATTAGCCAAGTGACGAGAGATTAGTGGCTTCGTCTTTAAAGTGACAATCAGTGACAACTTCGTTTAGAATATACACAACCTTACTTATTATTTAGTGGAAAATATTATAAAGCGTGGTCATAGAACATGGTATCTAGGGTGGTACAGACCGTTTTTTTATAAAAATTTGGCAATGACAATTGATTTAAATAAAAAACAAATTATAAATAAGTGGTGACATACACTGACAAGCTGTCAAACCGCCATTTTGGCTCGAATACACAAGCTTCATGAACCGCGGTACTTCGATAATCTTGGGATTTTACCTTCGGGTGTTTCTTATTTGTTTAATATTTATATTAATGATGTATTTGCTGTTTTGAAACATTCTCACTGCTTAATGTATACTGTTTCCTCACATTGACGCTTTGCAACTGTACTGCGACTCGAACCTCATTCATTACACTCAATTTGAGCAAATGTTATATAATTTCTTTCACAAGAAAGTTGAATTCAATTAAATGCGACTATGGTCTTGGGGCGCAGCCATGTCGAGAGTATCTCATATTAAAGATCTTGGTGTGACAAACTTACCTTTAAGAAATACGTTGACGGGGTGGTTTCCAAAGCTTATCTTTGTGCTTAAAACAACAGAAAATTTTATAGACTGGATTATTTGTTTTATACTACTATTCCTCGTTCAAACATTTTTCAAAACTCTCCTATGCTGAGAATGGCTTGCATATGCGATCATTTTCAGCACATCGGTTTGGGGATAGACATCCGCAACTCTATTAGGGAATTTAAGCGCTTACTTTCTGTCGCTCCACTTCCTCTGGTCGCCTATTCTAAATTTGTTGGCTCTTATTTTGTTTCCTTTTATTCTTGTTTCTCGTTTGTTTTATTTTTATAAATACATTCATTAACAACAACAACTACCTTGTTCTACTGCAAACACACGCACACTGTACTTGTTCCTCGCTCTTTTCTCTCAACTTCTTCTTTTACCGATCGGTACTGTTCTTATGACTCCGAAGCATTCAATAGGTGTTGCGGCTTCGCTACCTGACGAATCGTCCTCGATTCCATCGTCGACATCACCATGCTTTCATGAGGTCTGCAGCAAAAATTGAACTGAACTTTCGCTGCCAGAATGGTGTTTATTCGATATTACTTTATAAGATGGCGTCATCTTTCTAAATTGTCCCGTAGCCGCCATCTCTCGTCTAATCAATACTAGATCTCCCCCTTGGAATTTTTGAGGTTTTTTGTATTTCTTATCACTCCTCTCTTTCTGTGTTCGTTGCGCCGTTTCGAGATTTCTTATCGCTTGATCGCGTAAATCGTTTAGTTTATCAATAAATGTTCCGTGGCAGAAACCAAATAGTAGTTCGTGAGGTCTTCGTTTACGTCATATTCTATCTTATCCTTTTCAATCATTATGGACGACCTACATCGGATCGAGCATTCATTTTCTATATTTTCGTCTTTCTTTCTGTCGTTCTTTCTCTCTCCATTAAGGTTATCCTCGAAATTCTCCTAAGAATTTTCATCTCAGCTGTCTTAAGAAGCCTTGTATCTTGTATTTGATGTATCTGGTCTCATTTTCCCTGTATAAGCCATAATCGTTGTTTTATTTATTCTTGCTTAATCGATTAATATGTTTGTTTCTCCAACTCAGTTGGTTCCAATAGTAAAAATAGTTTTAAAAATAGAAGAATTACTTTCAAAGAGGGAAAATTATGATTATGAAATGGAATGATAATAATAACATTGCAGAAATAAATATAGATAAAATGGGCAGAACTAGAAATATAATTGCAAAAAAACTAAAGTCGTAGATTAATATATAGATAATGACACTATTTATGGATATCACTTCCAATATTTGCTAATACTTGCCAAAATGAATACTAACTGCTTTTAAGATATATTTGAAATTTTATACATTAAAAAGTAAATCGTTAAATCGGCTTCTTAGTTGGCAATCATTTGACATTTTATTTTCTAAAATATATAATTAAAAATTTGTAATTAAGAAAATAACATTTCATCTCCCAACATAACATTTTCATTAATTAATTTTGTAACATTATTACTCCCAAAAAAACCATACTTTCAGGCACCACGTCCTCCGAAACAACCGATAGTTCAAGACTTTCAATTCTTCCCACCGCGACTTTTTGAGCTGCTCGATCAAGAAATCTACTACTACCGGAAAACGTTGGGATACAAAGTTCCGAAAAATCCCGAGTTAGGACCGGACGCAAGCAAACAACAAAAAGAGGAGCAAAGGAAAATCGACGAATCCGAACCGTTAAGCGAAGAGGAACAACAGGAAAAAGAAAGTTTACTTACACAAGGATTTACTAATTGGTCTAAACGAGATTTTAACCAATTTATCAAAGCTAATGAAAAATATGGGAGAGATGATATTGAAAATATCGCTAAAGAAGTTGAGGGGAAGACTCCGGAAGAAGTTATGGAATATTCGGCCGTTTTTTGGGAGCGGTGTCATGAATTAACTGATATCGATCGAATAATGGCCCAAATCGAAAGGGGCGAAGCGAAAATTCAACGACGAGCTAGCATAAAACGTGCTTTAGACGCAAAAATGGCACGTTACAGGGCTCCTTTCCATCAATTACGAATCTCCTACGGTACAAACAAAGGTAAAAATTACATGGAGGACGAAGACCGTTTCTTGGTTTGCATGTTACACAAACTCGGTTTCGATAGAGAAAACGTTTACGAGGAATTGAGAGCAGCTATTAGGGCTTCGCCCCAATTTAGATTTGATTGGTTTTTGAAATCTCGTACTGCCATGGAATTGCAAAGAAGGTGTAATACTTTAATTACGCTGATTGAGAGAGAAAATCAGGAGTTGGAGGAGAAAGAAAGGGCGGAAAGGAAGAAAAAGAATCCGAAAGCGGGTTCTGGACTTGGAGGGACGCCTCAAACCTCATCCAAAACCGGACAGAAAAGGAAGAACGAATCCACTGGAGGAATGCCGGATAAGAAAAAGAAGAAGAAGTAAAAAAGAAATGAAACAAATTATAGGAGTTAATAAGGAGTAATGAGAATTTGATGTCAAGACGTTTTTTTGGAAAAAAGATTTTTGTTTCGGTCTTTTTTAGCGTTTTTTTCTTAACTTAATCTATAGTAGACTGTCCTGAATGTGTTAGATTATTTTTTTTAATACATGCTATAAGTGAATAGGCGAGTTTTTTTTATTCTTTATACCAACTACAAAATCGGTATTGTGTCAATATTTGAAAAGTAAAAAGTTATGTATATTTTCTTTCAAATCTCAGAATGCCTTAACACTTAACACATTGGCTACCATGTGATGACCTCATGAATGTCATTCATATATGAATGACTTGGCAGCCAATGTGTTAATGATAACAATTGAAATTAATTTAATGATGAATTTGAAAATCTGATCATATACAGTGTGTCCCCGGATAGGTGAAACGACTCTTATAAAATGTTAAATTTTTTCTATTATAATTGTCATCGTTTGGGATTCAGCCCTACTTGGTTAAAGACTAATTTTGAACATATTTTCAAATTTAAAAAAAAAAGAGTGTTGACACTAAAGCAAAAACTTCTTGTGTGACAGGTAAAGTACCTTTTCTATTTACAGTATGGTAAAATGTTACTAAGAAATTCTATTCAGAATGAAAAGTTATGACCATATGCAAATTTTCGTAATCATCGGCCTACTTTGATAAAACCCATTGTTTATTATTTTCCTCAATAGTACTTTATTAGAATTTTTTGTTTTGAGATTCAGATCATTCGGGAGAAATAAACAAACCGTTCTTAAAATGTTCACAAAAAATTAAGTGTGTGTTCGCCCACAAAAGAAAACGGTTAATAAGTTTCATCATAATTTTTTTTTCTTAGAGTGAATACTTCCTGCTGTAAGAAATCTTTTGATTAAACGCCAACAAGTACTTCTTTTAATTCCAGTATTTGGAAATTTTGCACTAAATAGAGCAATAACCATATTTATCGGTTTTTCCCCGGTTCCATAACACTGAATCACATAAACTTTTTCCTCTAATGTTAACATTGTACTTAAAAAACTGTTTAAATTTACTAAATTACAGATTAACAGTGACAGGAAAGCAATTTTGTTTTTCCATGACAGTCTTTGTTAAAAATAAAATTGTTTGATATGGATTATTCAAAGTAGGCCGATCATTCCGAAAATTTGCATATGGCCATAGTTTTTTATTCGTAGTAACACTTTCACGTACTGTAAACAAAAAGGTACTTTACCTGCCACAAAAAGCGTTTTTCTTTCACTGTCAAGGCTCACTTCTTTTTTAAAAATTGTAATTATGTTCAAAATTAGTTTTTAATCAAGCAGGGCTAAACCACAAAAATGACAATTAATATCTAAAAAATTTTACCTTTTATAATAGTCGTTTCACCTATCCGGGGACAGACTGTATAATATAACATAGGCATCATACAATGGAAAAAAAGTCGGGGTCACTTGAAACATTTTAATAAGGAGTTTCTTTTAACAGAATTATTTATAGGGTTAGAACCTGCAACAGCGATGACTTAGGAAAGTCTTCAGCAAGAAATAAGTAAAACAGAAAATAATTGTTATGGTGCGGAATAAATTTATTTTTAAATGATCTTTCATAATATAATAGAATAAAAAATAAGGATTATCACTAAAAACACTTAATAGTTATTTATATTATAAGTGGGCTAGAAACAGAATTACAGTACGAGTGTGGAGAATTGCGTGTAATCACACAATAAATGAATCATTTTATGAAACATTTTTTTCAGGTGAATACATTTTATGTTTTGACAGATTCTAATTGTCAATTCAAATTTCTATATTCAAGTGTTACCGTGTTACCAACTGCTGCATACCTATTTCCCTACATTGTCAAAATTTATTTTATTTTTGTTAAAAAAAAAAAGGATAAAAACGCGAATTACAAAAAATAGCATAAAAAACACGTTTCATAAGACTTAAAGCACTCATTCATTAAATTCAAATTGAATTCGTGCATTTCAAGCGTGTCTTACGAAACTTGTTTTTTAATATACTATTTAATAACTCAAATAATAATTTAATACCTAGTCATGTTTTTTTGATGTTTTTTTGTAAAACATTTTTCCGGTCCACCGGAAGTAGACCACGAAATCGTTATTTTAGATGGAATGCTATGGGTTTTCATACGTATTCAAAGTCTTTATACAGGGTTCGTGAAATGTCTAGAATATAGTTAATAATTTTGCCATTTGTGGTTTTAAAGAAAAATGATACAAATAAAAAATTCTGTATTAATTGGCTATATTTGCTTGTTTACATTGTTTTTGTTTCGTTGTTATCGCAACCAATATTATTTTAAATGGTATGTATATGTTTTTTTTTGCAAATTTTGATATGATTTTGATAGAGGATAAATCCCTCTACGCAATGAACATATCAAATCATATCGATCGTATCGAGCGATCTCTGAAAATATTAAATCAGCAAATTACAATCAAAGTAGGCGCCGAAATAACGCCGTTGACAGCTTTAAATGTCAAAAAATTGACAGTTCCAACAAATATGGCGCATTTAAGAATGCAAATATGTATGAGTACGGTGATAGAAAACGCACTTAAAGTGAAGTTTGTAGACTAATCAGTAATGTTTACCCAGATACACAAATTACACAATGCGTAGCATCCAAAACCTAGCCAACGAAACTACATTAAATGTGTGTCACCGTACCCATACATTATTAATTATTCATAATTGTTGAAACTGTCATTTTTTTGACATTTAAAGTTGTCAACGGCGTTATTTCAGCACTTACTTTGATTGTAGTTTGCTGATTTAATATTTTTAGAAAATCTCGTTTTTTCTCGATTTTTTTCTTATACAACCATATAACACATTTGCTCAAGTCTTTTTTTATACAGAGTGTTTTATTAGCTCACCATCAAGCTTTGACATATCATAGCTAATCCAATTACCAAAAGAAAATGTTAATGAACATATGTCCTATTTCAATTATTTACGAAATTATAACACTTTAAAGTTTTAATTTTTATACCACAATTACCTGCTACATTTTGTTGAACACATAAATATTACAAATATTGTTCAAAATAGCCTCCTTCTGCTAGAATACATGCTTCACAACAACAAATTAAAGAGTTCTTCAGCCGAATTCAAATGTCTGATTGATTTCTTATTTCAGTAGCAGCCATTTCTATTCAGTTTAATAAACTGTTCTCGTGTGTTAATTACCACTTGATACACAATTTGTTTCATTTAACCCCATAAGGGGTATAAATTAATCCAATGGATTAAGGTCGGGGGATCTAGGTGGCCAAGCAAATGGACCATTATTACCAATCCACTTGTTTGGGAAATATTGGTTTAACCACTTGACAACTACTCTTCCGCGATAAGGTGGGGCTAAGGTTGTAATTTACAGCGTTCAAACGTTCATCAAGTACATGCTAACCTAGTAAATTGTTGTTAAATATTCCACCCCAAACGTTGATGCTGAAACGTTGTTGAAATTTCCTTGGTCTAATCGCATGCGGATTTTGTAATTTAAAGATATGTTCATTATGGTAATTATTTATACCATCTTGTGTAAAACATGATTCATCTGTCCAGAGAACATTTGAAATAAAGTTATTATTTTGGGCATGTTGCTGCAATAACCTTTCACAAAATGCTAGCCGTTGCTGATTATCTCCTGACTGTAGAGTTTGAACATTCTGTTTACGATACGGATGAAGGACTTCGCGGTTCAACACGCGCTATGCAAAATTTTGACTTACATGTATGTTGTGTACTATTCTTCTAGTGCTGATAGAAGGATTAGCAATGACAGCATTAATTACAGCTTCTTCATCCTCTACATTAACTACATGCGGTCGAATAGCTTTTGCTGGAGCAGGATTACCTGTTTCTCGAAGTCTTCTGAAAGAATCGTTAAAAACTGAATAATATGGCAAATGACTATGGTATTGACTTATTGCATGAGGTTGCGTAGCTGGCACCTTCTTTTCTGTTTTGATATTCACCTTTCCAGTTTATATACAGGACGCGTAGAATCATAAGTACTGTCCATCAGACCTATTCGGTTATCATGCCAACTTGTGACAGTTATCTTATTGGCAAGGTCTGCACAATAGTCATAGAAACCTCTGTCCTTCTTTTCTAGTACTTTTGAAGGCATTATGGGACACTTCTTAATTTTATTGTATTTGATAATTCTCGTATATTCAATACCTTTTGCCTAACAATAGCCATATAATAGTAATATTTCTGTTAAAAATGATATCATACTATCATCAAGAAAAAGCTCAAAACATTCCACCGGATCAGAAGGAATGGGTGTTGATTGCATCGATTTCTCAAAGTTGGAGATTGGATTTTTGTCAGTAACTTTTTTTCGGTAACTTCTTTGTATTTCTGGCAATGAAATGTTCCAATATTGGAACTTTTGGGAAAAAAATTTTGCTTTTTTTGTACTTAATTTATTTATTATTATAGATGATATATGGAAATGTGTTGAGAATTGTTGGGGCAATAAACACAACATAAAATAATAGATAATATTAGTTTAAAAATAGAAATTGTCACTTATTGTTCGCTCGATAGAAATCAGGAACGAAAGAAGAAGGTGCTGATTTGATGTAATAATAGATAATAAAATGTGAAATAAATGATCTTACGTTAATTTCTCTTTCTTTTCTCGTACTTCTAACCAAATTTTATATACATTATCATAATTATGTTATCACAATTAACTTGTTGAAGATAATTTTAAATTTAAAAAAACGGTGTTTACAACGTGACGTTCAAAACGATAAGAGATCGTTTTATATGATATGTATTATATCGAGCACGCGCATGACAAACTTATACCGGCGCGGGGCGAACAAACTCCCCCTGTGAGCGTGCGTGAACACTTATCTTTTACTATCTATTTTTTACGAAAAGAATTTCCAACTTTTTCTACACGTTAAAGACACAATAATTCGTCAAACAATCACTCTCACTAATCAACATGTTTACTGGAAATGGGGGGAGAAAAACGGGGGTGTTCCATTATTGGAACTGTGGGCATAAATGGGTTAAATAATAAATCATATGCCATGTTCTATTCTCACACCTCCTTTTACTACCGTAAAACGTGGTGTATAGGGACAGTCCGCCAACTTTATGAAGATGTTGCGGCTTTACTTTTTATTTTAATATTAGTTTCTGTGGGGCAAAAGTCCGAACATGGTGTGTACTTTTCATACCCAAATAATGGCATTTTAAAAAAAATTTTAAATGATAGTTTTTTTAAAAAAGCTGCGTTGTCCCTTTTCGCCTGGAAATGTGCTGATTAAGGACGGTCATGTTATTCAGCCGTTATTCTCATTTAAAGCGGCTGAGGTGTAAAGGGCAACATTTAGAGAAAATATATTGTATAAAAAAAAGCTTTGTCCCGATTCACATGGAAGTCCCTATACACCTCGTTTTACGGTAATCGTGCGAAGAATTTTACTCTCGAAGATTAGCAGGAGGTCAACGTTTGCTTATCCACTGATAATAAATGTTAAGTAATTTTTTACATTTTGTAAGGGAACATGTGCAAATCCAACTTCAAAATTTGCCACATCGTCATCGTACGGGGCCAAACTGCTAAGCGCGGAATATCGGCACTTATAGTAGCTATAGCGTCATCATTACGGCGTGTACGGGTCTTAACTTTGGGCTTCGATATTGCCAATGAACCACTGGCATTGAATTTCGCCACTAAACTTCGAATTGTCTTGGCTGTGGACGTTGGACGACCGCGATATTTTGTTCTATACACGCGTTGAGCAAGCGCAACAGAGGAACTTTTTTGGAAATAAAATTTCACAATTTCTGCACGTTCTTTAGGTGTGTAGTGGACCATGGTTAAAATTATACTACAATAACGTTTCCAATGCACCGTCAAACATGGCGATTTGATAGCTGGTTGTCAAGTTATTCAAAAGAAATATCGGTTACAACAAAATGGTACATAGCTGATACCCTTTGAGGACGAAACAATTGTTTTGTGAAGAATTCTGTTCTTCAAAGGTTCATCACAACATGATTATTTCATGCCTTTGGTGGATTACTACCTTGAGCTACCAGTCTGAGTGATGAAATGTATAAAACGTACTTATGATATATGTAGTTATAATGTTGAACATTCTTTGATAAGTGTGTTATTGACATCATATTCTNGGCATTAGCATTTTTTCGAAAAACGAGATCATGATATGTAAGCTACTTTTTTTCTATCTCTTTTAGTTTCGGAGATAGCCTATGCGGACATCGAAATTGGGACACCCTGTACACGCGTTGAGCAAGCGTAACAGAGAAACTTTTTTGAAAATAAAATTTCACAATTTCTGCACGTTCTTTAGGTGTGTAGCGGACCATGGTTAAAATTATACTACATGGCGATTTGTTAGCTGGTTGTCAAGTTATTCAAAAGAAACATCGGTTACAACAAAATGGTACACCTGTACTATGTATAGTGGAAGCACAAGAAAAATGTTGTTTGTCCATACTTTTTAAATGGATCTACGTTTTTGTATAGCTGATAACCTTTGAGGACAAAACAATTGTTTTGTGAAGAGTGTCTGTTCTTCAAAGCTTCATCACATCATGATTATTTCATGTCTTTGGTGGATTGCTACCTTGAGCCACCAGTCTGAGTGATGAAATGTATAAAACGTAGTTATGATATATGTAGTTATAATGTTGAACATTCTTTGATAAGTGTGTTATTGACATCATATTCTAAAAAGTTATGCACTTCAAAAGTATTTAACGAATATAAGCATATTTTACTTTATAAATTTTTCCAACACTCTGTATAAATATCATTTCTTCATCATCCTGTATAATAATGTAAATATTATTCCTGATTTAAAAATAATAATAACTAGGCTATCTAACAAGGTCATCATGTCCACAGAGAGATTCCAACAGTTCTTCTTTTATACTTAATAAAATAAAATCATAATTTTATTGAAATATTTTTAACCTAACCTCAAACTTTGTTTACAAATTTTTTTTTGATTAGAGAACAAAGTTTAACATTACATTCCTATTAAAACGACCAAATACAGTAAGTATCGATAAAAAATACAGCAAGATTTGATTTAATTCAAATTTATCATCGTAATATCATAATTAACATGGAAAATAGCGTTTCTAATAAGTTATTAAAAACTTTAGAAAACCTAAATGGTAAGCAAATTTCATGTTAATAAAAGGATATTGAATTATAAAATAACATTTATTTTAGTTAAAGAAGAAACACGTAGCGGTTGCAACAAAAAATGGCAAGAAACTTTATCAAGTAATCAACGAGAGAAATATAAAAAAAAATTATCAGAAATTCTATTAAACAGTAAATTATTTAGTAATCAAAGTACGGATAACTTAGCTAGTGATATAGAAGAAAATTTCTTTAATTTGGCAGAAAATAGGGCTGAATATTATCATATGATTGCTGAAAAAATTTATAGTATTCAAAAGGAGTGTGAAAATAATAGTTAAGTTTATAAGATAAAATGTTTTTGAAGGCGTTTTCTTGGAAGTGAATTAAATAAGAAATTATCTCAATAAGAATACTATAATTATTTACTTAAAAAGTGCACAGAAATAGAACCAAACTATTTAGAATTTACTTTACACTTTGCATTAGAGAATGTATGTAGTGTTTTTGAATTACCTTTTATTATTTAATGTGTTTTATCTAATGAATTGTTGAAATAAGTTGTTTTAGTTGCTTCTTTATGATTAATTGGTAAGTGGTAGTAATTAAATAAAATTTTACATAAAATACAATAAGATTTTCTTTGATTTAAGACTTTACAAACATATTAATGAGATATAATCAGTATTATATTAGTTTTTCTTATATATTATACAATTTTTATTTTCTTTGTTACATAAATTGCGTTTTCTTAATTTTATATTTTGATTAATTTTGTATTTTATAAAAACTGGGTTTGAGTTGAGTACGCTTTTAAACTGTTTATTCTTTATTGTACAATAAATTATTGTAACCTTTGTTGCACATTTAGACTTTAATAATATGCCAAACAGATTTAGTTGAATTAAAGACAGGCAACCAAATATACAGTATAGTATGAAGCGTAATCGGTTACTTGTGTAATTTGGAGAATATAATATTGTGAGTGGCTTACACTCAATTTTTGCTAACACAACTTGTCAAATTCATTTTGGTCGAGCACTTCAAAAAATTTTGTTGTGCAAGGTTGCAATCAAAAAATTATAACTCCGAAATTTGAAGATTCGAGAAAATGATCCTCATTGCATTAAATACTAAATAAATTTACTTTAAATTGTTTTTTACTCCATTCGTTCTTGTGATACGATGGCTCAAAATTTATATTTTAAACCCATAACAAGCAAACATGCAGAATTGAATTTAAAGAATCATAATAACGATGTTTATTGAAAATAAACAATTATTAAAATATTTTTATTTCATGATGATATCACCATTCGTTTTGAGATATGATTTTTCAAATCTATAACAATCTAGCATACTGAGTTGGATTTAAAAAATCATAATAAGGATGTTTATGGAAAATAAGAAATTATTTATGGCACATTAAATCTTCATAAATTTTGCTTTAAAATGTTCTTTATTTCCTGATGATATCACCACCCAGTAAACAAGAAACATCTGTGAAACATTTCAATTTTAACGTACAATGAATTAAATGAAACATTTTACAAGTACGTTTCATATACGTGACAGATACGATTGTTACGAAACGTATCTAAAGATATGTATCAAATACATTTCAGTAGGAATATTTATGAAATATCATTAAAATATGTAGCAGAAACATTTCATTTGAAACATTTCTCTACAAATGTGTCTGAAACATGTCTGAATATCTTCATCAGCGCCTGTGAACGTATGCGCATGTTCAAGGACGCGGTGACTCATCAGCGTCTTGTCACGACTTGTTCTATTGTGTGTTTTGTTCTGCTCAGTTCTGTTCTCAGCGTTCTCAGTTCCTTCGAATCGTTTTCTATATATCTGTTCTGTGGCTCGAATATTGGTTTAGAATGGCGCAGGTAAGTTTCGTATAAGTTTTTTTATATATCACCACTAGGTTTAGTTATTTTTAAATTTATCTAAAAACATTCTTGTTTAAAATGGTGACTTAAATCTTGTGATTGAATTTAACCGAAGAATATTATATTGACATAAAGTTATTCCTTAACCAACGCGATGTATTCGCTGCGACGGCGATTGTTACGCTTGATAATGTTGTCGCCAAGTCGACACGGCGGCAAATGAACATGCACAAACGTGCCCAAACCGACTTTTTCAACTGTCAGGTGACAACGACAAAAACCGTGGGTGTAGCGATACTTTCGCGTCGGTCTGGGTATGTTCATTTGCCGCGGCTTCGTGTTGACCTGGCGACAACGTCATGCGAAACAATCGCCGTTACA